GCCTGTCTGTGGGAGAAGAGGCTGTGCCAATGAGTGCTGCTCAACTTGGAGGCCATTCAAAGGAGGATTTGATTGTGCCTGCTGTGGGAAGAAGGAATATGCGTGCACATGGCCACTTCCCATAGGTTTTACCCCAGATTTTCATGAGCAGCTGTCCTAGTGAAAGTCAAGTCTGTTTTAGTGAGTATTTGAGGGCTTCCAGAGCACAGTGCCATCTCAGGGGAATTCTGCTGGTTGAGTTCTACTGAGGCTTTGAGATGAGTTGCAAATCCTGAAAATGTTCTCCTTGCCCAGGTAGTAATTTCACAGTTTAGACTCTGGGGATATTGATTGCTCAGTGTTGAGGACCTCATGTAACTTTCAGCCCCAGAAACTTTCAACCTCCAGTGATTGTCCTTGAGACAAAACCATTTGAAATCTTTTTTTCTGTGGACAGGAATTGCTTCGGTGTTACTTCACATCATCCATTAAAAATTTGATGCCTGGAACAAGTCCCGAGTGCTGTGTGATTTCCTTGGTCGTGTTCCTTGGAATGGCTTCCCCCTCATTTTCTGAAGCTGGCCCCAGAAAGGTCATAGATGGGTGAGAAGTTCTGAAGGGTCAAGTGGTGCAGATCTTTGCCTCCTGTTTCGAGGTCTGTGGTGAGCTGTGAGTCCAAGAGCTGATTTGAAGTGATGGTGAAAACACAATTGAACCTTTTTGCAGCAGGGTGGATGGATAGAAGCAAAGCACAGCACGGCTGGCAGCAGCAAATGAATTAAAATGCATCCCTGGAATATGTTTCTTGGATTGTTCTTCTAGTATTGTGGTAGTAATTCTGATGTCTGAGTAGTGAACAAGCAACAAGTAGTGAACACGTGATTTGTAGTCAATTTTCTATTTCTTATGTAGTGGAGAGTATGGATGCTAGCTTTGGAGCAGGCTGCAGAGAGCTGCAGAAACTGCAGGCCCCATGGCCTATCAGTCCTGCCCGAGAAGCTAGCCTGGGAATTCATAGGAGGATTTCAAAACAATCCTCAGAGACAGAAAACAACTGCCAGGTGCTGTTTGTCTGTCCTCTTGTTTTCCTTGCAGGAGAAAGTCAGGGGGGTGGTGAGCCCTGCTGACCAATGATGGTGATGTAGCACTTTACTAAGCAATAAGAGTTTCCTTTCTGTACTTTCCACGTATCTGTCTATTAGACAAGCCTAGAGTAATAAAGTAGAGAAGATTCTCCTGTTGTGACTT